CGTGAATAAATTTCTGTGGGAAACCAAGTGGAAGTGTCTAACCACCAGAGCAGAGCCTATGGACAAGCACTGAAGGGTAGCGTGGAGTCTACACAAGCAGGCTGCTCTTACAGTAGCATCTGACTGTAAAATAGGATTAAAGGAGCAGGTCCCTCAAGATCAGACAACTGTGTTTTGTGATCTAGGAAGTCCTACATGTTGCCAAAAGCCCCTTTAATATCCTGGCAGTGGAAGGATCCAGGTCTGAGGATGGCATATGTCTCATTGAGTGACTCCAAGAGCGGTTGTTGAGAGCTTTTGGAGTAGTGCTGGTGACAGGAGGTTAAAGATGGTCCTCAACACTCTTTTATCAGTGCTTCCCTCTTGTTTTTGACACTGATGGATCACTGAGTTCCCTCTTTCATCAGGTTGGAGTTTCAGGTTCTGTACTAACTAGATCTCCCAGGTGGACTGGAAACACTGATTAAGATGGATAGAGTGAAAGCAAGTCCATTAAATTGTTAATAAAGAATATTACACACATACCTTAATCTGCAGCTAGCCTGACACTTTATAAAAGTACATTAGGATATAATCCAATTGAAGCCACAATATCGAGAACATCTTATCTCATCACAAATTGAAATTATATCATATTCCTCATTTCTTAAATTAAAAAGCTAAAACCTTTTAGTTTGCTCTCATATGCTTGTGTAAAACTTAATCAGTGGTTTTAACAACATTATTTTTCAATATGGGCCATTTCTGCTCTCATTTATTTACAAGAGAGAACTTCCTGGTAGGAGAAGTGATTCAATTTGCGGGAGGATACATCAAGCACTTAAGGATTTTGTAGGGATTGATTGATTATTTATCGTGTTATCTTGCCTGGAGACGTCTGATATGGCTGTGCTTTTCCTATCTCTCATTCCACCTAATGCTCTTCCTTTGCGTCTCACTCCCCTCCAGTGCTAAGGGCTCTCCTCCCATGTGTGTGCATGCACGTGCATATTGGAGGAGAAAATGGGGTCACGGAAAGCAAGGCTTATGTTGCCTCTGTTGGGATGAAGATGATGGACTGGACCGAAGTGAGATCTTCATTTCACTGGAGGGTATCATAGAAGTATGGGAGGTTAAAGGGTGGTCTGAAATTTCTGCTGGATTCCAGACAGCTGCTTAGCCATAGACCTCCAGTTGTGTTGTACAGGACCTCCCTTGTGCAAGAAGGAATGGGGACACATTTTCTGGATTTTCTGGAAGTGCAGAAAACAGCCCAGAGTGCCACCAGGCTGGCTGCCCTGCACCTTGATTACCACTTGGTCTGTTCGGACTGTGGTTTTAGGATGAAAACTTCTTCTAATTACGTTTGTGTAGTACCTAGTTGTGGGGATCTTTAGGTGCCACCTGAATTTAATTAATCTGGAATAGCGGAGCTTTCCTTGCGTTCACTGTGAGTGTCCTGCATGCCTACAGCACAACAGGGAAGAAAAGCTTTTTATTTTAAGCAAGAAAACAGCAATGAAAGCAAAAATGCAAACCAAACTCTCAGCTGTTTGGACCATGATTGTCTTTCTGGCAGAGTGAGGGACAGGGATTAAGGATACTTGAGATTTATTCTTTTCACTGCTACAGATTTTGGCAAATAGCTCTTTCTGCCACAGCTTTTTCCTAAGTAGTTTGGGATCAGCTGGGTTTATTCTTTTATGACAATTGGAGTGATGGAATTGATCTCTTCTGGTGAAAATAAATACAGAAATCCTGAAGCATGACTCCAAAAAACTCTGAGCCCGCAAGAAAACACCACGGTCAAAACAAAATGCTCTTGATTTCTCTTATTTTTGATTGCTTTCTGATTTTTAGGGTTCCTGTTTCAGGTGCTGCATTGAAGTGGCAAGGTAGGAGAATTGTTTTCAAATGGGAACCGTAATCCCATGACTCTAGGAGTGCAGACTTGAAAGAGCAGCAGTTGCCTCATGAGGCACTTGTGAGTGCAGACATAGCAGCTGACTCAGCTGGCGTGGAGAGGAACAATTCCAAGGAGCAGCTAGTGTCCTGCAGAGCCCTACGTATGTGATTTGCTGAAAGCAGCGGAATGAATCCTTCTATAGGATGATACATGTGCATGAGCTTTTGCAGGATTGAGGCCAATCTTCGCAAAGTACTGTGAGATGCTTGGATGAAAGGGGACTGCAGAAGCACAAAGTATTGCTTTATTGTAATTACCATGATTATTATCCTTAGGGCTGTCCAATTGTCTTTGTTTAGTGTGAAAATATAAAGCCATTTTGGCACATTTTTTTTGTGTTGTAATAAATAGAAATGTAGAAGGAAAAAAAAAAAAACTCTTCCTAACGGTAAGAGCAGGAAAGTAGTCCCTGTGCAATTTGTTACACATCTCATATGCCTCTGACTGCTTGCTGTAGAGAGATTTAGGAAGAGTATTTAGCCAAGCCGGTGCGCAGCCTCTAGAGTACACGCTTCTGCTTTGGTCCATGCTTGGTTGAACCCTTTACAGCAGCTTTATGGTTTTTTGACACAGCGTTGCCGGAGAGGCTTTGATTATGGAGGATGCCAACTGCACAGAGTGGGGCTAAGATGATTAATCAAATTATTTGAAAGGAGTTCGCCAGAACTGGGAAGTGACCAGTTTCCTCCCTAATCTTCAGATTGAGATGTCAAGTTGGCCTCCAGTTCAGCGCACTGAGCTCGCCAGGAGGCAGAGGGTGGAAATAAATCCATAGTAATAAACAACTCAGCGGGGCTACGTGCGGCAGAGAAGGCTGCCGACCATTGAGGAGGCCCAGGTAGCGCTGCCTGGTGCATTGGGTGTCATGAGGGCTTTGTGTGCTAGGTAGGAAGAGCAGACCTGGCTTCTTTAGGTGCTCCAGAGCAGGAATAGCAAGCTTGCTCCTCAGGTTATGGACAGGGAGAGGGAACAACCAGGACTTGAGACCTTCTGAAGGTCCCAAGCAGCTCCATGTATGAGATCCCCTGCTCCAAGCGTGATTTTAGGTCCTTGCTGAGCAGGATGAGGGAATGAGCCGCGTGCTATGGACAGGGGTGGCAGCGAGGCAGGACCAAGTCCTTCTGAACTCGGTGGCTGCGCTGGGTGCTCTGAGGGGCCGGGCCTTGGGTCTCAGCCCTGTCTGGGAGCGCATGGCGGCTGGCAGTGCATGAGGCGACTCGGCAGCGGGTGGCAGAGCTGGCGGGGAGCTCCGTGGGGCAGGAAGCGCGGCCTGGAGCGGGAACATGGCTCTGCCACTGCCCTCTTCCCTTTGCAGGCCTGGTGCGTTCGCCGCCATCCGCTTTTGCTCTCGGTAGTGTCCCCACTTAGCCACAGTGAAAGAGGCAGGCGGAGCACCGGGAAAGCACACGCTGCCATGGAGCAGCCGGACTGGCACTGAGGAAAGGATGGTCGCAGAAGGCTGAGGAAGCTCTGGAAGTGGCTTCTCTGCCTTTCTGTGGCCACCATCGGGCCACCAGGGCCGGGGTCCTTCATGAGGCCCCACCGGTGCTGCACGCTGGGGTGCGAGTGTGACCATGGGAGCACCCAGGCCTCCTTCCGTGCCCAGAACATGGGTGCGAGGCGCGATGGAGGCCAGGATGGAGGCGGGAAGCGCCGGCGGCGGTGCCTCGAGCCCCCCGCGCCGCAGTCACGTGCGCCCCTCAGCTGACAGGGCGGGATGACTCAGCCAGCAGCTGTCGGGGCCCCTAAAATAATGACAAAAACAATTAGCAGTCCAAGCAGTAGCCTCTCCTTAATTATCTCCTCCGAGTTTAATTAACTAGCTAAATTATCAGCAGTAATGTAGGCATTAATTATGTCAAATTACAGTGTAAAAATCACAAAGTGTGGAAAATGTCAATTCAGCTGCGCTCACCTGCCGGGCTGAGCCGAGCGCCGGTGACAGAGGCTCAGCCCGGCGCCGCCTTCCCCGCGCGGCGCCGCCGAGGAGCCGGGGCCGCCGCGCGCTGCCGCCCGCTCCTCAGTGCGGAGCCATCGGGAACTGCCTGGACGGCAGCAGGCGCGGGGAGGCTGGAGCGTGTTGGCTCTGGCAGAGGGAGGGAAAGGAGCGTGGCTCCCCAAACCAGATGGCTGGGATGCTGAATTATTAAATTATGAATATTAATACAAATCAGACACGGAAGAGGTAATAATTTTGCTGCCCTACAGAAATAATTAACATAATTTTGATAAATTACATGATAAGAGAATCTCAGAATTGAGGTAGATTTATCTTAATTAATATCTTGGACTTGCTCCGAAAGGTAAATTGTTCCACTGGGGACCAGGGAAAGGTGAAGAAGGGGCCCCTGGCTCCGAGGGTCAGCCCAGTTCCCGAGGTTGGCTCCCCATCGCGGTGTGTGAGTGATGGCAGCCATGCCAGGGTGCCCGGCAGGGCAGGGCATTGGTTCCTGGTCTGGGGAATGTCCCTCACTGCCCATGGTGCTCCCTGGGGAGCTTCTGGCAGCAAGGGCACACTGTCAAATGCTGCTTGTCTTCCATGACCGTTCCCTTCCATAGGCGTACGCAAGCCATGGGGCTTCCTGCAGGAGAGACCTGGTGTCTAGGCAGTAGCACTGAGCCTACACTGAGGTTTGAGGCCCTCGGGTAAAGCTCTGGCTTTACTAGACTCTTGTGCTCAGGTACCCCTTAACTTGCTCGGGGTACATGTGTATTGCAGCAAATATGCTCTTCCACAAGCATTGGTGTAACTAGATTGATTAGTAGCTGGCTTGTTTTCATATTTGATGGAGTAATGTAGGTGTTTCCCTTTGTCCAGCTCTAGCCAAGGACTGGGCAGTTGGGTAAAGCCATGTCTCCTTTCTGTATTCTGTGTTTTGCAGTGTATCATTCATAAATGCTTTTGCTCACGTGCTGAGAACACAGCATCTTGCAGAGCTGGGTAAAGTTCTCCCTTGCAGGGTCGACAGAGCAGTATTAGCGCTGAAGGTCTGATTACACAGCACCTAAGGGACTGAGTATGACTGGGGACCAAATGAGTGGAGACATATCGGGCAAGTGCTGTTCTTCTTTTGCGGAGGAAATACAAGGAGCTGTACAAGACTGAACCCCTGAAGTCAACAGAGATGTGCCACGGTGGATGTTACTTTAAAAGGTAGGAGAACATTCAGTTATCAAGGGATTTTCTTCACCGTCCATCGATGTGTTTGTTGGGCTTCTTTGCTGCTGTACCATATCGCTCATTTTTCTTTAGCCCATGACAGCCTGTGTGACTCTGTAGAGGCCCGTGTCCCTCTCCAAGTACGTGTTCAATGAGTGGGCAACCTCCTTCCCCTTTGCTGAACAATGGTTGTTCCCAAGGTCTTGGCCGCGGTGTTGCTGTTGTTTCTCCCCTTAATATGCTTTCTATACATGTAAATCAATCTAAAAGGAGTACGTATATGGAGTTTGTAGATTGCTTGATACTGCGTAAAATTTTGTATTTGAATTCCAGCATCACTGAAGACAACGTAGCCCCATAGCTGTAACAGAGGTGCAACCCAGAGCAGAATCTGAAGCAGTGATTTAATCACTGAAGCAATGTACATTCCCAAAATGTAGGCAGTACATATGCTTGTATGGGTGTGCATATGGAGATCATTGATAGCTTGTAGCATCAAAGCTGCAACTCAAATTAGAGGGCTAATTGCAAAATTAAAGGGAATTATGCTTTACAATGACATTTTTGCAATACTAGTTGAAGCAATCTGGGAGAAGACGTTATTTGCACATTAATGCTGTCCATTTAAATGTCCTCAATGGCTGTTCTACTGCAGTAATATTTGTAGCCTAGTTACATTTCAAGTGTGTGTCTGCCGAAGCAGTTTATGGCTGGGTTACTTCCTATATTTCTGACATGGGTGAATGGGAGGAGTACAAGGAACGGCCAAGAGAGGCTGTTCTCAGGAGACCTCGGTCTTGGTCTTAAGCTGAAGAGCTTTTTAGATTCACATCCATGCGTTTGCTGGCTTAATTGGCAAAAGCTTTAATTTTTCAGAAGGTTCGAAATCTTGTTGATCTGTTCCCAGTGGCAGTATTTAAAGCCTCAAACACTTTCCTTGTTCAAAGAGCTCTACCAGTGTCAACTAATACAGCTCCAGTTGAGCCATAATCTCTAGATGGGGAAATAGTTGCACCCCATATGATTCACTTAGTTCCAGGATCCCTGTCCCGTGTTTAATCCAAAAAAGACTTTCATCTAATTTGAGCCTTTCTGAGTTTCCTGACCTTGCAGCTATAAAATTGTGCTGAGTTGTGGTATTTCCTGGTTTTGGAGGGCCAGAAAATAACCCGTTCAACCTATAGCAGGTGTTGAGTAGGGCCAAAAGCTCATGGACCTGCTGAATGCCTGTCATCTCAGGGATGATAAAATAAAACATTTTGAAGCCTCCTGCATCCAAATGGGACCAGGGATGATGATCTAGGATTATAAGGAATATTTTTTGAGGCACAAGGAACAGTAGCAACCTTCACTGGAATATAATTTATGGAAAATACAGAGTAGGAGAGTCTCTGCCTTATTGGGAGCTCTCAGACAAGGACTGAGCGCGCTGCAGCCATAGTTGAAGGAGTGAAGCTATTTAAGGAGCTGTTATTGAGCATCTTTCTCTATCAGTGATCACTTGGAGGCATTATTACTCTGCGCTATGCAGTGAACTGAGAGCAGACTTGCTCCAGCGCTGCCCGGCCATGGCTAGCGAGGCGCCGGGCCCGGCTGTGTTGGTGGCACCAAGCAGGTTGGTATCAAGGATGAAGCAGACCTGCATGGGCCCGTGCCTGCTGTAGAGCTGCCCCCATGGGCAAATGACTGCGGTCCCCTCCAGATCGCCCTTTGGAGAGGGAGAGCATGGGGACATGGGTTTCATGCAGTGCCTGAGGTCACATCTCGTGCGGCCTCGTCACACTCGCTCTGCTGCCAGAGCTGCCCTCGGCCCCAGCGCTGCACAGTGGTTCAGGTGGCAAAGGCAGATTTGAAACTACATGTCTGGGCAGCGCTGCAAATAATGTTAAAACAAGGGGAACCCTACTGAGGAATAATGAATGTGGCTCCATTCCACCCGCTCCCCTCAGCTGGGCCCTGCCAGGACTTGTCCGGCTTCACAGGCCACCGAGCGACCTGTCGTGGCCGCTGTGCAGCCCGGCTCCACAGGCAGAGTGATGGGCACCACGGCACGGGGACGGGCGCCCGGTGCCCTGCACAGCAGCAGATTTGGGTCTTTCTGCAGATGTTCTCCTCGTGGTGGCAAGGTAGGGTCTGGGCTCTGGTCTTGGGGGAAGTTCCCCATGGGCATCGTGCTGTGTAGGTCCAGAAGTGGTGTGGGGAGCTGAGGTTGCATGAGGCCCTGCTGTGTGTAGATGTATGCATGCGCACGGAGGACGGCAGTGCCAGCTGCATCTGAGAACTCAATCTGAATTCAGCCTTAACCCCTTCACTGCTGTAGTCACTCCAGCAGCCTCCGTGGTCCCAAAGCTCCTGACATCCCGTGTAGGCTGAGGAGACAATCCCATAGCTCATACCCAGCCGACCAGCGGTGAAGGAACGCACAGACAACTGCGCTTGGACCAAGGGATTGAAATAGGGAGAATATGGCTGGATTTAGGGGATTAAATTGTTCTACTCTGACAGCGGGGGCTGAAGAAAGGAACTCTAAATGCAGCGTAAGAGTGCAAAGGAGGGATTTTAAAAGATCCTAGTGGATTAAGTGTCAGGTAGATGGTTGGAGGTGATATTTGGGATACAGGAGATTTCCTAGGTGGAGTTGTCCAATGATCCAGTCAAAGGCAGAGCAGGGGAGTCCTTCAGGAAGGGCTCCATCCTTCAGTCAACAAACAAGGAGTTGTAGGAGGAGGATGCAGGACGCAAAGGACTCTGAATGTGTATGGAAAAGGGGGTTGTTCAGTGGTTCATTTGACCCTCCTGCTTCTGCTTGTGCTAGAAGGGAAGGCATGGGAGGTTAATGGGCACTTGCATGGGGTGAAGGAGAGCCATGCCCTGTGTCCCATGGGGGCAGCCAGCCCTGCTCCGGGTGCTGCAGGGCGCCTGGGCTGCAGAGCCATTTCCAGGGAGCAGGCCTGAAGGGGACTTTTTCTCCCATCTTTTGCAGTGTGCGATTTCCACTTTATTTCAGGTTTCTCCTCTGTTGGGACTCTGGGCCTTTCCGTTCCCCAGTAATTATATAATTACTTCACAACATGCTGCAGGAATAGTCAGGGAGATGGCTACAGCTAGCACAACAATGGTGACAAGTAAAACATTAATTTCTGGAGTTCTTTTAATTAATTCATCAGGAATCGTGCTGTGCAGGATGATTACGTTAAAGTGTTTAATTACAAATTTATATGTAATGATGCACTTTAATTACTTTGGACTGGTACAATATTATTGGGCCCTTTTCCCAAGATTCCTGGCACTGGATTTGGGTTGCACATAAGCAGTGCCATGGATGCTTGTGCTTCTAAATTATTTACATGGCATGGGAGAAATCCTGTTCTGATTGATGAGTGAAAATTCTCTCCTTAGCTGAATGGCAACGAGTACCGTGGGGAATCTGGAGAAGGAAGGTCAAAGTGGTGTGTGTGTGTGTCAGGCAGAACATCAGGACATTTTTTGTCAGAAGAATCGAGGTTAATTTGGTGGAAACTGAAGTGATAGAGAGCCGGGCACGATAAATATTTATCAAAGGGACTGGTGTCAGGATTGTGACTCACAGACACAAATACAGCCCAGTCAGATCTCACGAAGCATTAAGAGATGATGCTGCAAGCAGCTCTCACTAAGTGAGTAGGGTCATTTTCTTCATCTTGGTCCTTTTGTCTCCTCTCCCTTCCCTTTGTCCTCCTGCCTTTGTGTGTGTGTGTGTGCACGCGGGCCCTTCCCTTTCCGCTCTCCTCTTCCCTCGTCCCATCTCTGTTTGCCTCTGTGCACGGGGAGCATCTGTCCTTCTTCTTCCTCTTTGTCAGGGCGTTCTCAGCCTAGACAGACCGTATAGACATTGTCACGCGCTGCTATAACAGGGCTTGAAGTTAACTTTGGGCCTGGCCTATCTTTAGGCTGCTGTGCACACAAAATAGCCACTTGTATAGTCTGTGAAATATGTATTGTTGTGCTGTGCAGGCTGTACCAAACCAGGGAGGCAGCAAATAGTTGTATAATAGTAATTATACATTAGCAAATATATGAGAAATTAGTTTTGGATATATTATGTTGATGAATCCCAACAGATAGTCACGGGAGTTCTCCTGTCTCCGATCACTGACACTTTTCTGACTGTAGGTTTATGTTGTTAAAATTGCAGCGAGAAACTGCTGGCAAATAGAAGCAAATGGACCCTTTGAGCTGCCCCCGTTGCTCTGTGCTGCTGCGGCAGCAACTTTGCCTGCTTATTTGTAATGCAGTTGCATGCACAGGTAGTGCAGAGCTCTGTACAGCACTGCAGGGTCCAGAGGCCATTTAGTTGCAGTACTGGCTTTCCAAACCAAAAAGTCATGGAAAAGTGCCAGCCCAGAGCCAGGATGGTGTTTCCTCACAGTGCTCCTGCAAGGGCAGCTCGGTCTCCTCTTGCTCAAGCTCATTGCAAGGGTGACTGCGGCCTCAAGGCGACGGGGACACCGAGTCCCGTTCGAGGGGCTTGGTGTTAATCTGGCGGATTATCAGCCTGGAAACGTGTGTGAAGATGGCAGCAAAATGGGAAGCCCCAAGAAGCTGTAGCCTGTGAAGTTCCCACCGTGAGATTTAACACTGCGCACTGCAAGTGCTCTTACTGTCAACTGGATGCAACTCCCAGGGATGTGACATTATCTTCCAAAAGGTGTTAGAGATATTACAAGAGACAGTTTAGCTCTTTTGCCATTAGCAGGGATCGCGGAGGGCTTTAAGAGCCCTCCTGGCAGAGCATGGGCTGTGTCTGCTCAGTCAGTCCCATGCACTGCAGCTCTGCCACGGGCTGCACTTTGGCTGTAATGCAGGACAAGAGGGACTGTGGTGGTGGGGTTATCTCCTAGTGTTAGTATGGACCTAGATTTGTAATACGAGCTTTTTTTGCTCAGAGCTAAACTCAGATCCTGGCAATCACCACTCATCATGAAGACTGAAAAAGGAGATATCGTGGCCATGTCCCCCAAGATGTAAAGCAGGGCGCCTGGGATGAATTCCTGCTTGAACTGCAGTGTATCTGTACTTGGATCCTACCCCATGGCAGCGTGTGGGGTGCTGCTCAGCAAGCAGGTGGGGAGCAACTGAGGCACAAGAGAAGTTCTGAGAAAGTGGGGCTGTTGTGACCCTTGCGTGGTAAGAAAATCCTGCAGGGCCAAAATACACCTCACCCTGCTGGCTTGCAACAGCTGCCATTCCTTAAGTCACTATAGATAAGGAGAAGGGGAAAGAAACTAATTTTTCCCCTTGGAAAGGCAAGGTGTTTGCAAGCCCAGTTCACTCTAGAAAGTTTTGTTTTACACAACCCCTCCTGTGACAGTCACACCTTGCAAAGACCCTCTCTGCAGGCAGTCCTTGAGGTGGCAACACTTTGCCTTGCACAGAGCGGGAAAAGCACTTTTACATCACAACTTCCCTGTGTCTTTTTACTTTACACATGTGTTTGTAAAAAGTGGCCATACAGTGATAGGGAGCTGGGAACTTTGGATGTCTCTGCATGTGCAGAAGCGCTTTGAAGTGGAGCCCCAGTGTTTCCAAACCACAGCTGGGCTAGCAGCACGTTTGGCAGCACTGGGGTGCTGGTCTTTCCCTGGATATTGCCCGAGAAGGGCTTGGGGAGCTAGCACAGGGCTATCCAGAGGGTGGGAGACAGGGCTCTCATCAAGGCAGGGACAAAATGTGCAACATCAGCAAGGGCAAACGGAGCTGACCCAGTGCACCGAGACAGATGTCCCCTGCAGGTGTTGCAGCAGTGCTGGGGCTCACTGGAGCAGTTGGTTATATTGCCGTTCAGGCCTCAGATGTCGTGGGGGTTTTGTTTCTTTTCCTGACGTTGGTCCAGACCGCCAGGTGTGGAAGAGCTGCTTCTTGCCCCGGGAGGAGGGGAAGGGTGTTGTATAAACCCCTCCTTGCCCAGGTGTGCTGCATCATGGGGCTCGGTCGGGCTGCAACTGGGGCACAGGGGAGGCCTCTCCAGCAGAGCAAAACTGCTATAAATAATCACTATTTGTGGCCTTTCTGGGGCCTGTGTTTGCTGCTCCAGGTAGGTTCGAGCCCAGCCAACCCAGTCTGTGGTGCCAAGGGGCAAAGGCAACGTCAAAGGGATGCGCCGCTGTGTCCCCATGACTTGGGGACCGATTGCTGTCAAAGGGAAGGTGCCCTAGAAGAGCCAAGGAGGGCCTGGTGAGGGGCCCTGGGCTGTTGTGCAGGGCTGTGACGGCGGCGCGGGCGCCGCTCGCTCCCACGCCAGCTGCCGCCAGCGCGGTGGCAAAGCCCCCTTGTCGCCGGGGGCTCCTCCACGTGTCCCAACCCGCGCGCGAGCCCCGCGGGCAGCCGCCGCCGGCGCGGGCAGCGGCTCCGCGGTGCCAGCCCTGCCGGTGGCAGATGGCGTTTGCGAGCGGCGCCAGGCCCCAGCTGAGCGCTGCCCGGCGAGGCGCGCGCGGGAGCTGCCGCCGCTGCCAAACGCGCGGCATATGCTCCGCTCGGCCCTGCACCTGCCGGCGGGCGGGCTCCGCGCGCCGCCCCGCGCCCAGCGAGGCCCGCAAGCGCCGCCCCATCTGGAAGGGAGAGAACGGATAAACAGCAGCGGCGGAAACAGAGGGGAAAGGAAAATAGAAACCAAGGTGGCGATGGAGGGGTGACTTGGGGAGGGTGACGCAGCAGGATGAGGGACCCGTGGCACGGATGGGGCAGCCACCCCGCTGTGCACCAGCTATAGGCCAAGGGAGAGCTCCCAGGCAGTATTTAACTTTCCCTTTTGGTTGGGAGCAAGCCCCAAATGATCACAAAGAAAATTGATGGCAGAGCAGCCTTTCTGCCTGCTTGGAATTTGCTTTGGTAAACTGTATACTCACTCTGGGCTCGGTTTCTGTAATTTATTGAAAGGAACCAGACTGGAAACCAGATTCATACTGTGAATAATTTCTAACATCACTGTAATCTGTCACGGGGAGACAAGGCACTTTGTTTCTCTGAAAAATTATTTTTATAGTTGGCTTAGGAACAACAACAATTATTGTTATTAATATTAATAACTCCTCGTGTAAGGCTTTTCATTTGCGGGTTTTGGATGGGTTTTGCACGGGGATTGATAGATGCCAGCTGCATCTCAAGGGAAGGGAAACTGAGGCACAGATGTCTTCCGTGCCTTGCTCAGACTCACATGAGCAACTGATGTCCTCTCTTCTGTAACACAGCTTTAACCACTAGATGTTGCTGCCCTATCTGCATTTCTAATATATTTGAGGTTCTAATGACAATGAAGGGGCAGGTAAAAGATTTTTTTTTTTTAATTTGGTTCTATTTTGGCTTGCAAAATTAAGAAAATTCCACGAAGAAATGACCCTTGTCATACCACGACCACCAGCTCTGACGTCCAGGTCTTCTCCTGTGTGTTCTAGCTCTGCATCCTGAGGGAGCGATGGCACAGAAGTGACCACAAAATCTCACCTTGGAGGGTACAACTGGAGCATCCCCTCCATTCAATCTTAAGAAAAGTATGGGAGAAATTACAGCCACTCGTCTCTTCCCCAGACCGCTCCACAGCAGCTCCTCTGAGGATACCTGTGCTCAGGTGAGCTTGTGCTGCAACCATGAAGCAGTTCAGATCCACAGGGTGTCCTCGGGCAATCAGACCAGCTCCAGCTTTAACTCCATGCAAAGCTCACCGAGCCCGAGAGGAGAAATGTCACATAGCAGCAGAGAGCTGCCCCTGCAAACGCGTGCGGGGCAGAGCCGCAGCCCGGCCGGGAATGGCCAAGCCGGAGGTGTGTGGATGAGCCCGGCTTGCACGGGACGTGCTCCAAGCTCTCACAGTCGCTGCTGTGTAGCCCACGTGCAAACCAAGCAGGGTCGTTTTTCGGGGTTTGGGTAGAAGTCAATTAATTGTAATTCAGAGAGTGAAACTACTCTAGGTGGTAATTACATTTTTTTTTTTTTCCTGTGGAAATGGTGTAAACTTTATGCATATGTTGTTTGAGACATGATTTTACCTGTAATGAGGGAGTTCTTCATTTGAACTTTATCTCTCTCCCTCTTTTAATTTATGGCTTTGTTGCAAGAATAATAATATTTAGCATTTATGGAGCATTTTTGGTGTTTTTGAAGTCCGTTTGCAGGCATTAACTAATGATGCCTTGAATCCCTCCAATGAAGGAGAGGAATATGACAGTATTTTCTCTATCTGCAGATGGAAAATTTGAGGCAGGAAAGGAGATAGGACCAGATCAAGGCTAGAACTTGAGCTCCCCTGGCTGGACCCAGACTACGGGGTATCACCCCTCAGTCCTTTTACTTTGGCCTGACATCATTCATTTCACATATGACATGTTCTTTTTCCAGTAAGAAAAGTGGGTAAAAAATCAGAAGGACTCCCAAGTTTGTTGGTTTGTCTGTTTTCATACCAGGGAATTTTGGCTTTTGCAGTTTTGGGGTATTTTTTATGCAATGAAGAATTTTCAGAGCATAGCCGTGTTCCTTAATCCCCTATAGCAGTAATATAATCTGCATTGGTACAGAGCCATTCAACTTGAATTATCCCGGAGCACTGAAGCTGACAGGCCAGCAGTGCGGAGCGGGATATCCCCTCGCCCCATATACTTGGCCAATTCCAGTTAAAACATAGAGACACGGACAGGTTGGGTGCCGGTGCTCCCTCCTCCACCTAGGAGCACATCCTAGTGAAGGCCTTTAGGAAGATGCCCACATCTCCTCAGTTTGCTGTGCAGAAGTCAGAGGTGTCACATTTACTATTTAACACTTCCAACAGGTTCAGGTAACGTCTATGTATTCCTGAAAAATCTTTTTTTCCACCTGGGAGAAAATTTCTGGGAAGAGAAGGAAGGTGTGCTGGAGGAAGCATGGAGGCTGGCAGCCCTCGATGGTGCTTGTGATAATTAATTATTTGGTAGCCCTGTGGGACTCAACTGTGATCATCAAATGTGGAGAACAGAGTCACAGGGAGGGCAGTGCCATGGCCCTGCTCACACCCACAGCAAGGTACGGGCATTCAGATAGAAAAGCGGCATTTTTGCGCGTGTAGATCTGTCCTCTCTGCCTACAGAGGCTGAAGAGGATGGCAGCCAGCCGCTGTGGGAAGCTCTGACTTCTGTGGAAAGGGCCACAGAGATGCAGGGCCCACATGGCTCTCTCTTTTCCCCCTCTTTTTCTCTTGCTTCCCAGGACTTTTCAGGCGACGCTTTCCCTCCATCCCTGGTGAGCAAGCCAACAGATGGCACTGTGCTGTTTCCAAAAGGAGACTCCGCTTGCGGAAGCCCAAGCCCGGCCCCAGCTGCACATCCCTCCCTAGGATACCCGAACACTCCGAAAAGATCCTTGCACTTCGTGGAAGTTCTTCCTCCCATGCACAAACCCAGCCAGCCCAGGGCACCAGGCATGTGGGCTGCAACGGGCACCACGTCACCTTCCTCCACCAAGGCAGTTTTCCACCGTCAAGGCAATTTTGCTCCTTGCATCCTCCGTGGAAGCAGCCACGAGCACAGCAGATGCCCTCGGTGATGCTTCTGTGCCCAGCTGAGGAAATCAATTGCGGTCAATCACACGGAGTTGATTAGTTTGGCAGGAATCGGAGGCTTCCTGGGAGGGGCGGCTGGATCAGCTGCTTGCCCTCATCTGGAGTTTAACTTTAGCCCCAGGGGCTCCTGCTGTTCAGGAGCAGCAGAGCAGAGGTGAGGGATGGGGTGATGCTAGAGAGAGGTCCTAGCAGTAAAATCCTGCCTGTTCTTTTCATCAAGCCTCATCAGCACAAAAAATGCCCTTTATTTTACATGTCCTAGAGCTTTGCTGCTGCATTCCAGAGCCTCCAGCAATAGGTCCCTGCTTTGGAGTGAGTTAGACCTGCATCTCAAAACACCTCTATTTTTCAAACTGCATCTCAAACTTATTTCCAGTCCTGCAATGCTAAGTCTTTGTGAGTCCAGTGGAGCTATTACCACTATTTCCAGGCCTGTGCCCTGGTCAGCACTTCCTGTAGACACTGTGGCTGTGCTCCCTCGTTCCAGAATGAGGAACCAGGCCTGGAGCTACCCAAAAATCTCTTCTCCATCCCATGATGATGCTGCCATCTGTTCAGCAGCAGAGATCTCTAATGGCAGTGGGGAAAGCTGGACTCCAGGTGCAACCCTGGGAACTAGTCTTACCTAGGAGCTGCATCTGAACGGGTTTATCTGTCAGGCTGCTAATAGAAATTCAGACACCTGGCCTGATTTTCTTCTCTACAGGCACAGAACATTTTCTAGGAGTTAGGACTGACAGAAGAGCTGCTCACAGGGTCTTAGCAGTGAGTGTGTCCCAAGGAGAGCCACAACTCCATGTCATGCATTACGGTCCCTCCACCTCACCTTCTTAAAACTTGTCGTCGTTCTTTCCCTGCTCACCCCACCTTTTATTTTTATGCCTGCAAGGGTCCCATCTGATAGATGTATGCAGAGATGACTGCAAAGTCCTGAGCAGCCTCTTCCCTTCGGAGAGCGTGGCGCTCCTGTGACGTGCTCGGCATTGCTGCTGCACTCAGCTTCACCCCGCGCACAGCTGTATTGACCCTGCTGCCATCTGATGCTGCTTTTCAAATTGCTAAAGTCAAATTAGGGTAAGTAGGTATATTAGGCTGACCTATACCTTGTCAGTCTTTACATCATTCAAAGCCAATTGAGCCTTTTCATTCATAACAAGAGCCTATTGATTGAATAATCTCTATTATTAGCGTTTGGGTAGAACTTGCTCTTTGTTTTATTTTATTATTATTTTTGTTGGTTAGTTTAAATCACCTTCTATTTTGCCCTGCTGTAACTGTAACTACAATTACAGTACAGAGCATGAAAAGATACTTGATTAAGCCTTGCAGAGATTATTATAAAACAAGGCCTCTTTCTGAATGCATATTTCAGAAGAAATTGCATAAAGAAACATGCTCCTGTGAATTCTTAGAATTTGCAAGCACAATTTATCTTTGCAGGTCAATAGCTCATATTGTCTGCTCTGCCAAATTGTTCAAACATATATAATGCTTTCAAAACATTGCTTAATTAGATTCTAGAGAACATTGACACACAAACAAAAGATATTAATATCAAGGATTTCAGCATCAAATGTAGTTTACACAGATCAAAGAACATTTTTGGTGCAAAGAGGTTACGAATGTGACACGTTGTTACTCCACAAGTGAGAATATGACAGGAGAGACAGCTGTGATCAGAGAACTGAGCAAAAAGTGGAAGAGATATAAACTCAAGAGAGTTACCAGGAAGATAGAACTGCACAAACAGAGAAGAAGGAAGATTACTGGAGAGGTAAGAAAAATAACTTATAGAAATAATGGCAGACTCTGTGGTAATAACTGCTAAAACGGGCACTGGCTTTTGCTGGGTATGGGGTTGTGAATCAGAGCTGGGGAGCTGGACAGGCTTGTTCTCTTTGCTAAGGAGGGCTTATCTTGTGAGTAAGAACAAAATCTTGAAATCTTTTTATTGGAAATATTTTCAATTAAACTGATGTCAGGGGTTTGTGCAAAGACTTTAGTATGTTGTGTGATGTTCAGAGTCTTCCACCTGGCCAGCTGATGTAGTCTGTGTGCCTGAAACTGGGATGTGGCAAGGAACAGGTGAAGGAAGGAAGGGCATTTGGAAAAGTTTTCAAAGGGCAGACTTTCTGTTACTGATGTGGAAGGTTTGCAAAGTGACTGGGCTAAGAGAGAGGAGATGTGAGACATGGAAGTGACAGTGACTGTCCGTTTGTGCCACCTGTGTAGAATCCAGGCACCTCTGGGATCTGCTAGGGAGGCAGGAAGACAGAAAAGCAGATAAAGCTAATAGTCAGATGTTCTGAGTTCCAAATAGGATCCTAAGAACAAGTAGTATTCCTAGATATGCGCAAGGTGGAATGTCTCCAGATTTGATACAGATTGATGGTCTCTTTGAAGTGCGGACATCCTGTCTCCATCATCTTGGAAGAGCTACTGAGTCTTTTAACAACTTCAGGGAGTCATTGGTGATGCTGGGACAAAAAGGGCTGCGCTCTATCTACATCCTGAGCTAGACAAATTCTGAGTCTGGTCAATGCAGTATTAAGACAGCTACTCCATAGCATATGGAACAGAAAAATTACTGTGCTGTGGCTAGCTAGAGCAGAAGCAAGGAGCTGGAAAGAAAACATGGAAAATATATGTTAAAGTAGACACAGCATAGCAGGCCAGGCAAATGATCAAACAGATAAAAGAGCAAACCAAGGTGAAGTCAATAAAATTGACTTAAAATACATATGAATTAAAAAAATATTAATAAGCCAAAGCTGTATTTAATGTCAATATTGTTGTAGTAGTCTGAGAAATCATGAATAAATAAAACCAGATGGTGGATTGATCATACAACACCAAGAAAGGCACTTGTGAAGAATATTTTCTTCTGGAGGCACACAGATTTATATGTGTGTTTCTCATTTGCTTTAATGGGGATCATGTTTGCAAACTCCTGTGTATGAAGAAACAGGTAAACCTGAGTGGTTGAGGCTTGTTTTGACACAATTATCTCCTTAC